GCTCCAGGTCTGAGGAAGCTGTTGGTCCAGAATTGCCATCCCTAAGTGCTCCAGGCCCCTCCCCAAGCTTGTCCAGGGCTGGCCATGCTCTCTTCAGTAGCAAGCAGAACTCATACAAGACCACAGGGGGAGTGGGGTAACCCCTGCTGTGGCTGCAGAGCCCACCTCCTGGCTGATTCTGGGCTCTAGGCACAAGTGAACAGTTGGGCACTGATGGCTCCCAGCTCAGGGTAGGAAGTGGGGAGACAGTGGATTCCAGCAGGAAGTATAGCCACTCCAGAGCCTTCTCACCCATCCCCCACCAGCATCAGAGAAGGTAACAGCCCATTCATTACCAAGCCCTAGAAACCCAGGCACTGCCCCTCAGGAAGTCCCTGATCAAGGTTGGGCTTCCTCACCACCTACCACCTCCTGCAGAAGGACAGATGGAAGACACACTCGTATGTCTAAGACCAAGGCAGGAAGCAAGTGAGCCCAGAGCTTGGCCACCTCACGCATGCAGCTTCAGGTAGCGGCTAAGCTATGGGATTCGATCTCTACCCAGAAACTCAAAGTCCCTCTCTGTCCCTGCACAGGACATGCTCCAACCAGGTTCTTTATGTCCAACCAAGAGGTCCAAACACAGATCCTCAAAGTATAAAGTATGAAGGGGAGTTTCCTGCTAGAACCCCTGGCTAAGGCACACACCCCAACCTCAGTGGGGCAGGGACCACAGCAGCACCAAGCCAGAGTTCTTCCCTAAATCCACTGTCCAAGGGGGCATTTACATCATCTGACCTCTGGAGACGGGCCTGAGTTAACTGTGCCTCTCCAGGGAGGCTTTGAGAATAAACCCAACAGCAACTGTGGACGTGCCTCCTGTTTGCTGAAAATAAGAGACAAAGGAGGCTGTAGGTAGCCACGCTCCAGAAACAGCCCAGTGGCCACCACCTCAATCAGAAGTTCTGAGGCATGGCCTTGAATGACGCCCACACAATCCCCCCTCGGTGGGGGCCGAGCCTTGGACCTGGGTTCATTAGGTATAGTGTTCTTGGTCTGTCCTCTGTGGAAGGCGATGCATCTGCCAGCTGTGCTCAAAAAGCAGAGACCACAGCTGGGGGTGGGGCTCAGCTGGTGGAGTGCTTATCTAGCGTACATGCAGCCCTGGATTTGATCCCAGCACTACATAAGCTGGGCTGGGTGCTATAGGACTCCCAACATTAGGGAAGCAAAGACAGGAGGGCCAGAAGTTCAATGTGAGCACAAGACCAGCCTGGGCTATATGAGAACCCCGCTTCCCATGAAAGGCCAAAGGATCAGTCAGGGCCAAGGAGGAAGGAGGCAGGCCTGGCTCACCTAGAGACAGGTGCTGGGGCCCTAGTCCCCCACGGATTAGCCAACTGCTCTAGGGCAGGTGCCCCGCAGGTGTGTGTTCCGCTCCTGCCCGGTGGGGCCCTGACTGAATGACCCAGAAGAAAAGCTCAGGCCCCAAAGTGTGATTAGAGGGCAGGGTGATGCCCGTCTGCTGCCCCCAGCGTCTGCTGGCCACTTTGATGTGAGGCGCGCCACCTGAGCCCCACGCCTCCTCTAACTTTTAAGAGCAGTGGTGTGCCCAAGCCCCACAGGCTTCCTTTCTGAAGCAAGGTGCTGTTCTAACCTGTGAATAAAACCCACCAATTATCTCCAAGGCTGGAAACTCAATCTGGGCTGTTCTAGGGGAAAGCGACTACATCTAGGAGGAGCGGAGCAAGACCACATCAAACGCCCTGCTCCTGGGCCCCAGCAACAGATCAGGCATCAGTCCTGGATCCCAGCCAGTCACCGAGAGGAGGATATCAGAAGGCAATGGGAAGATGCCCAATGGCCACCATCTGCTCCCACAGGTGACACTGCTGGAGAGAACAGCAGTATTCCTGCTCCAGCAAACCCTGCTGCAACCCCCAGGTACAGTTGACTGATTACCTGCCAGGCCACTCTGACCCCATCCAGCTGCTGCCCAACACTCTCTCCTGTCACCTCTGTCCCACAGGCTTGTTCTGCCTCAGCAGTAGACTCAGTACCAATGCACACGGTCTGTCCACACAGCCACCTCTTGAAGAAAACAGAGAACTTCCCCCACCTCCGAAGCAAAGCTACCTGAGGGCCCAACCTCACTCCCTGCCCAGCACCTCTCTTGCTTCCCTTCACATGCTAATGTTCAACATGGTACAGCACAGGTAAGAAAGCCAGACACATGACGGCGCACCAGGTCTAGAACCCAAGGCTCCCACACGCCCTCTCTCCACCCCATCTTCCCAAGTGATCAGTACATCCTTTCGCCACCTCTTGTGGCATCTGGGCAGGGGTTCTCTTGTGGACCCCAGAATTACTGGCATCTCAGTAGCCTCAGGGTATGGCTCCAGGGTGGCCCCAGCACCACCCAGGGACACCAACATCCTCGTGAAGTGATTCCCTGTTCTTGTTCTACACTTTAAACCACATCTAGATAACAACTGCGGCTCACCACAGTGCCGCTCAGGGTCTGCCATACATCACAGAGCAACAGTGAGACCTGGGCACATTCACAGTCTCCAAATACCTCTGGCCATGAGTCAGAGTCACGGCTGAGCACCCAGTCACAACGGCCAACTGTCACCCTTTAACGCAGTCCCTTATGTTATGGTGACCACCCCCACCATAAAATGATTGCTATTTCATAAACTGTAATTCTGCTACTGGCATGAATCATAATATAAATAATATAAATAAATATACAGAACATCTGATACACAACCCCAAAGGTTGAGATCTAGTGGTCTAGACAAACAGAAGTCCCCAAGGTCACTTTGAGAGGCTGATGTGAGTCCTCAGGATGAATCTTGAACCGAGGGCAGTGTGGAGTAGCTCTGTGAGGCGGTGGGCAGTGTGTGGAGTAGCTCTGTGAGGCGGTGGGCAGTGACAGGGACCAATAGCTAGTGTCGCTGGTTAACTGTCCTTGAAATTGTTCAGACACACATTAAGGAGACTGGCAGCCCTTGGGAGAAAGAAGCCAGGAGGTCCCCTGTGTGTGGTCCCTGGAAGAGCTAGGTGGACAGATGGCTCAGCAGTGAGGAGCACTGGCTGCTCTTCCAAGGACCCAGGCAGGACCCAGGTCTGGCTCCTGTTAGCCAGAAAGGCAAAGCTACACAGCCACACAAGTCCAGGAAATGCTTACGAGATGACCTGGGGTTAGGAGTCAGGGAATTGCAGGAGCCTCTGGTAGCAGCTACTGCCCAAGGTGCCCAGTGCAGAAAATGAAAATGTCTCAGTGTTCAGGTTGCAAGTATCCGCCGGGCAGCTAAGACCCCCGGGTAGATGTGGTCTCGATGCAGCCTCGGGTCCTCTCACTGACTCCCAGTGTGCACTAGACATGTCTAACAACTCACAGTGCTCCGCTGAAGTGTGGGCAGCCCAAGGTCAGGTTCAGGTCAAGGGTGCCCACCCAGCCCCACCGTGAGCACACTGTTGCTCTGACAGGCTCAGTCCCCCATGCCACCAGGGACAGTTGTCTTCATCACACACACCTCCCGCCGACCCCCGCACTCACTCCCTGGCCATAGGGATGAAAGGATCCTCGTGGGCCCCAGACCCTAGGGCCAGGCTCTTCAACCTCAGCCACCTCCCACACCCACCTTCTCTTTGGACAGCCGCCAGGGCTGTGTGTGACACCAGCTCTATTCTACATTTCAGTGCGTCAGGATCCACAGCTTTTTTATTCAGTACCAAGAGGTGACCACAGAAAACTGGGGGAAGCCCGCAGAGCAACCTTGAAGGCCCCTACAAGCCCACTCTTCTCACATAGGCTGTCCCCCCCTGCAGCCCCGTGGCCACCCATGCTGCACAAAGCCCCCACCAGGACCATGGCATCTGAACTGGACAGGACAGTGTGCTGAGGAGGCCCCCAGAATACCATTGTGGTTCCTCTGGTCCCTCCGCACACATTCCAGCGATTAGCATCTCAGGTCCCAGGGCAGTGTGAGTGGAAACCATCTCCCCACACCCAGCTCTGCCTGATCAAACTGACCTGCAGGGTGGATTTCTGCCCAAAAGCTGGGGTAGACGACGCTGAGTGGACTGGACCGCACTGGACAACAGAGGCAGTACCAGGGCACTGACTTTCACCCAGCAGGCACCAGACTAGGCTCACTCTGAGGTGAGGACAGGGGATTTGCGACTTGTGAGCTGGCCTGGAAAACCCAGAAGCATCAGCAGAGCCGATCTCACCAGTAGGTGGCACTCAAGGCTTAGCAGTCAGGGTCGGGGGCCGGACACCACTGCTGCTTGTGGTCCATCTGGTCCAGCCATAGTGCCAGAGACCAGCCCAGCTCAGGACAACTGTGTCCTCCAATCCAGCCTCCAAGGAAGCAGCTTGCAGAGGGGCAGGTCTCAGACTGTCTTCAGGAGTCCTAAAGGCTCCACACTGATGTCAGGGAAATGACCAGAATTCCCAAGTTGTTCCTTGTGCGCTGGAAGCTGGCACCTCTCCAGCAAGCACTCAGCCTGAGCTCAGGTGCCCTGTGTCTCATGTGGAGGGGGGGGGCACCTCTCCAGCACTCATGGCCTGAGCACTATAGCACCCAAGCCCCTATTCCTTGTCAATGTTCATGGCAGACATCACTTGGAACCAGCCTGAATGACCCCAAGAAACTCCCCCACCAACCCCCAGAGCTGGCATCTGAAGTGAGAAAACCAAAAGCCAGTACAGTGCTCTGAGCGACGGATTCTCCTGCCTTCCTGCCCCAGCTCCCTCTGCCACAAACCTTGAGGGCACACATAACAGAGCCACCTCTGGCCTAGCCTTTGTGCATGTCACTAATGGATGCTTCTCACACAGGTTAAGAGGTCACACCTCACAACCTGATGCTCTTTGTGGCCCACAACCTAAGTAACCCTACCCAACAGCCTTGGGGGGGGGGGAGAGAGAGAGAGACAGAGACAGAGAGAGAGAGACAGAGACAGAGACAGAGAAGCCAGGGTAGTATAAGAACAAACTTTACAAAACATTCTTTACAAGAACATTCTTTATGAAACAGAAAAATGATTGGCACTGTGACCTCCGGGCACAGCTGACCATATTCACAGACATCGTGAAATAAAAAGGTGACATTCTTGACACGTGAAACCAACCCTGATGCCCCAGAAACCTGCGGGCTACCCTCCACAGGCCCTGTGCAGGCTTGGGTTCACAAAGGCCACCGGCGTTGAAGACACAGATAAGCTGTGGGTAACAAGGGGAGCTGAGGTCTTCTCACATCCTGGGCTTTGAGGTCCCTGCAAAATCACCTCCTTCTCTCCTTAGCAAGTCTCCCCAGAGCAGCTCGGAAGAGCAGCAGACAGAGGGCTGCTGCTCTACAGTGTTGACTACCCATCTGCCAGGGCCACAGACTGCAGCCGCAGTCCTTGTCCCAGCCTCTGTCTGTCCTTGAGTGGTCTGTTCCAAGCACCGTCTTTTCCTGCTTGGCCTCTACCAGCTTCTGCCTCCACAGCATGGGCCCCAGGCCAGCATCCCTGTCCTGTCACCCCAGCCGGGAGGCCACTCTGATGTCACCTGCACAGCTGCAAGTGTGGGTGTTTGTGCAGCTTCTCCACCAGTTCCTCCTCCTTGGGCTCTTCCAGGATGTCCCTGCAGGGTAGGGACAGTCACACAAAAGCTTCAGAGACAGAGAGAGAGATGGGTCTCTCAGAGACTGCAAGCAAAGTCAGCAGACAAGGTCTGCAAGTACCCAGACTCCGAGACCACAAAGGGAGGTACTTTCAAAACAGGCTGTGGCAGGGCAAAGGGACATCAGCACGTAGGTCCTGCCTCAGGAAGATACAGATGCTAAAACCTTTGGGTGCAGTGATAAGCATACTAGAGGGGACTAAGGAGGGGTTCAGTGTGGGGCATAACATGCTCACAGCCTAGACTCCACCCCCACACCAAAAAGAATTCAGTGAAGAGCCTGGAAGCCTAGAGAGCCCTTCTCATACCACATGGCATGACTACAGCTGGCTGGTCATAGCACACAGCCAACACTGGTGAAAGAAAATGGGGCCCATGACAAGCGGCCCTGGGATGACAGCCACTCTTCTATATAAGCAGAGGACAATCTCCACGATGTCACAAGAGGAGAAGGTGTGGCTCCTCCAGGCCACCTGGCTGTGTCCATGGCATCAACCAGAAGCTACAAGACACTGGAGGATAGACAGTCCCTTCCATATGCTGGACCCCAAGCAGAGCAGAGTCCATGTCCCTGGTGGAAGCAGAAGTGCCCACTGTTGTGGTGTGAGCATCTCTTGCCAGTTCAGTGACAGCCCAGATGTTTGGGCAGAGAAGGAACCCTGCCAGAAGGCCTTCCTCACAGCCTCCCTGCCCCCATCAGCTCCAAGCCCTGGAGGCACATTCCCAAGGCCTGCACCTGAACATGAGCTCCACAGACGTCTGATAGGTGATCTGCTGGGTACCAACAAGGAGCTGCTTATAACCTTGGGGGTCCCATCTGTGGAGAAAGTTCTGGAGCAAGAGGAAGGGTGTAAGTACCCACGTGGCACAGCTTCGGAGGCTGACCCCCATCACCCAATCTGCAGTCACAGTACAGTCACTGGGGAGCAACTCGTCCTGGACATCTGGATGCAGAGTCTATGAGATCCACACCCATGAAATAGCAAGATGCCCAACTCCTCATCCTTAAGTCCTAAGAACCCCACAGACCCTGCTTTTGTGTGTCAACTTGACACATGCTAGAGTCATCAGAGAGGAAGAAGCCTCAGTTGAGGAAATGCTGCCAAGAGATCCAGATATACTGAATTTTCTCAATTAGTGATCAAGGGAGGAGGGCCTAGCCCTAATCCAGCTGTATGCACTTTCTCAACTAGTGATCAATGGGGGAGGGCCTAGCCCATGGTGGGTGGTGCCATTCCTGAGCTGGTCCTGGGTTCTAAAAGAAAGCAGGCTGAGTAAGTCAGTGAGCAGCACTCCTCCATGGCCTCTGCATCAGTTTCTACTTCCAGGATCCCTGCCCTATTTGAGTTCCTGTTCTGACAGTGATGAACAGTGATTTGGAAGCATAAGCCAAATAAACCCTTCCCTCCCCAACTTGCTTTGTGGTGTTTTGCTGCAGGAATAGAAACCCTAACTAAGACAGACCAGCCAGGGCAAGCATCTCAGAGGCCTATAGCCAGGCTCCCTCAGCCTGTGGCCTTGGTAGGTAGCAGGGCTCACCCACCAAAACTCTAGACATTCCAGCAGGCAATCTCAGGCCTGGGCAGGGATATCTGGTACCTCCAGAAGCAGAGCCAGAAACAGGTTGATCCAGATGACAGAGGACACCAACCACCATAGCACAAAATACACCATTGACCACCTGTGAAGGACAAGGAGGCCAGGACCCATTGTGAGTGGGGTGAGATCACTCCAGAAAGCTCCCAATGCACATCTGTGAGGAACCTGTTGCTAACTCCACAGGGTAGTGATGTCACCGTAACACCAGGACTTGGAGGTGCCAGGGACACCAAGGAAGTCTAGTATGAGATGTAAGTTGTATTCAAACCCAGGTCCCTCCGATGGCTGGTCAAAGCTCTATAAGCTATGAGCTAAATGAGTCACCTGACTGTTCCCCTAGGATGCCACCCCATGGAAATCCCCAGAAGCATCAGGCAATCGTATACACCATTTATTTCTCCCATACTGGTATCCCCAGGATGCATAAGCCCAGGATCCCAGCTATCTCCCAGTTCAGTGTGAATGAAGGCTGAAGCCTGTCAGGACACAGCTTGGCCAGCCTTCCAAAGTCAGGGCCTAGTGCCCTTCTCAGTACAGGCCCTGCTTCTCTGATGAACCGGCCATCTCAGAGGCAGCACTGGGGCAGACAGACTTACGGGCCTGAGTAGCGCCGATAGGCATCCAGGAATACCTGCCAATTGTTCACCACCATCACGTTCCACAGTGTGATGAGAGCAGCCTGTGGGGCAGCAGAAGTGGGGTCCAGGAGGGCCCAGGGCCCAGGACAAGGCAGAGGAGCAGCCCAGGGGACAGGGAAGAGGGGCAAGACAGAGGCGGAGTCCCAGGTGAGCTGGACAAGGCTCAGGACTCACAGCAAAGTCGTCAAAGTTGTTGGACCAATAATTTAGCTGCTCAAAGCTTCCGCACAGTGCTGAGTGGTTATCAGGTGCCAGGCTGGAGACACAATGGCCCTCGGTTAGTAGCTGTAGCCAGGGGCCTGCGCAGCTCAGCAATGCCCTACTCCTCAGCCCAGCATGGACTCTTAGGCTCCAGGGGAAAGGAAAATGCCACTTTCCAGCCACAAAGGGAGCATATATGACATGGCCCAAGAGGCCCCCATTGCCAGAATCCTAGGCTCCAGGTTCTGAGGATGGCACTTTATCCCCAATCCCAAGCCAGCACTGCCATAGCCTACACCCTGGTGGGGGTAGGGGCTGTGCTCAGGAGACCCAGCACTGGACACCTACAAGAGATGTTTAGAGGGAGGGCCCACTGAGGTGCCCACAGGTTAACGCCCTCAGGCACAGACAGTCCCTCACCTGCTGTTTCCAGGAGGCACAATGATACCTCGGAATAGGTTGATCCCAATGATGGCGAACACATAGTATGCCACCTGGAGGAAGAACCTTTGTCAGTGCAGCCACAGGGCCAGGCTGAGGCCAAAGGAGGGGAGACAGGAGGCACAGAGGCAGCTCCGCCCCACAGATGGGGATTGGGAGACCAGAAACACTACACTAGGTCTCCAGGTCTGGTTGCTTCTCAGGTTCCAGAATTGTAGGCCCGCTACCACAGAGGACAGACCGGCCATCTGGCCCCCGCTGAGGCCCAGGCATATCTTAGCTTCTGTCTGGCACACATAGCTACAAGTCCTGAAATATGTCTACAAAAGAACATCTTCCAAAATCTCAAGCTTTGGTGGGGGTGGGGAGTGGCTGTGAGAGCCCTGGAAAGGCCACTCACAATTTCCTCGCTGTTTCACGCTGTGGTACATGACCCAGGGGTCACGAAGGACTGGGTAGCTACCACAAGGACCCTGGTATAGATAGTAATCCCAAGACCTCTTTGGAAGGAAAGGGCCAAACGAGTCTGGCCTCCTGACATTGCAGTGGGTCTCCTCATCAGAGCAGAACCAGGCCAGTCACATGCCACTTGGACTCCACAGAGCCAGCCCACCCAGGCCACCACCAGAGCCCCAGGACTTACCACCAGCATCCCACCAAATGCTCTCAAGTTCTGGATCAGGCCCAGGATGGTACTGGCTACCACAGCTATTGGCTGTGGGTAGGAAGAGGGTTTATTTAGCCTGACTCTTTCTGCCCCAGAGGTAACAGTGCACCCCAAAACATACACCCTCACCCTGACCAGGAGACAACGGACCAGCAAGCTACTCCATAGCCATCTACACCTACTTGGACACCCACCTCAAGGCCATCTACACATATCATACTCCCAGACACCCATACAACACATATACCCTGTACATATCCACCATATACAGAAATCCACATACATGCTCACATATTCCCCCAAAATGCCCAGCCTCCTGTGGGTGCCGAGTCACGGGTCCCTTTAAGAGCCTGGCATCCATACCCTGTGGCCACCCTCTGCCTGCTGGCCTGCTAAGACCTGATTTGCATCCCTGTGACCCAGAAGCTAAAAGAAATGGAAGCGCAGGCTCTTGATCCAGTGACCCCTCCCTACCCCAGAATGCTAAGGGGCTTAAAGGTATGCCCCCAAAGGGCCCTGGTGATGAGCGTCCCTTCTCCAGCTCATGGTGGGGCATGGGGACGGGGCGCAGAGCATACCTTCACGTTGGGGATGATGCGCAGGAAGCGGAACACAATCAGTGTGTTCACCAGCCGTGTCATGTCCCACAGTGACAGTAGGCCATACTGCTTAGGCTTCCTAGGAAGACACAGGAGCCATGTTAGGAGGTCCAGGAGAGCAGAGGAGCTAGGCAGCAACAGTCACTGTATGGACACCAGGCAGAAAAAAGCTCCCAGGAGGTGTGAGACTGAGCTTGGTCAGACCCTACTCACACCTAGTGCCCAGCCACAGCTACAGCCACAGCCACACCGCCCAGCATAACTGCAGCCATAGCCACACCCACTAGAACAGCCCCATAGCATGAAGGAAGAGATGGTATTCAATACTCAGGCCCCAGACTTGCTGAGCTCAGTTTCCTGAAGAACTGATAGGAAGCTTGTCTCAACCTCAACCTGACTTTTGACCCTGTCCCATCACTGACCCTGTCCCATCTGGACCTGACTTCTGACTCTCTCCTGAACCAACCTCCTATCCTAAGATCCAGTCCTGACCCCAATCCTGGTCTACCACTCCACTTAAGAATCCCCATGGTTTGTCTGTATTCTGACTCCTATCTAAACATAAGCCGTCCTCACCCCAAATGTCACCCTCACAATTCCCACAGTGATGGGACAAAGCTTTGAGAAGGGCTTGGCTCACATCATAAACGGATCATTGTTCACACAGGGCTCCTGCCTGGCGTATGGGGACTGTCCCTGCCCCTCTTCAAGCTATCCCAACAGACACTGCAGGGGCAACTCTGCAGGTCAATGCTGGACCACTAGCCCTCAGAAGCCTCTCCCAACTGTGTCACTGTCTAAGGTAAGGCAAGGCAGGGATCCAAAGTGGACATAAGTGGCCCAGGCCTGTGCTAGCCAAGCCTTCTCTCACAGGTGCCTCATAGCAACCTAATGTGTCATCTTGGCACAGGGCAGCTTCACCAACAAAGGTACTGTACAAGCCTAGCACCCATTGGCTATGCCAAAAGTCCTGGGACTCTACCCAGAAGTCTCTCAGTACAGTAAGAATGGGACTAGTGGGCTCAATACCTCAGGAAGCCAGGGACAACATTTACAAAAAGGACACAGACACTGAGCACGGGGACGAGCCAAGGACACATGCTGGGCAGGTACTAGCAAAGGGATCTTGCCACATTCTAGCAGAGGGACCCAGCCCAATTAATCTGTGACCCCAAATCCCCCAGACCTGAGTCAGGCCTCATTTCCCCTGCTGGAGATGGTGGGGGACAAGGGACACGCCCCCTCGTGAGAATACCTTACAGGGAACACCACTGCTCATTTCTGCATGCCCCCCATGCAAGGCAGACTCAGCCCACAGTCCAACATCCCTACTGGCAGAATGGTGCATGCCACTGGCCAGGGACCCATGTGGTACTGGAATCTGTCACCTGGGTGCTGTGCAGTGAGACAGGTCACTGCTCAGGTGGTATCCCCAAGTTCTCTGCAATCACATACCATCCCGAGTCGTTTGGCAATCGGTATACAACCATAGTAGAAATCTCCAAAACCTGAACCATAGAGAGAAGGGGGCATTGTCCAGCAGCACCAACCCAGGCGGACACCTCCAGCATTACCACCCCAGGCAGCTTGCAACAGAATCCCAAGACTTAAGTCCATCCTTTGGGCATGTAGTGGCACTCAGAGCTCAGGCCTGGCCCCACGCGTCCAGATGTAGGACTTCTGTCAGCCAGAAAACTGGCTTCAGGAATCAGGACTTCGGAAGCCACTTAGTCACAGATGGACCAAAAGACCTTTCTATGTATGTCTCCAGGGGCCCACTGGCTCTCAGACTGTCACTTGAGGTCACTGCTGTGACACCCACACCAAGTCTGAGCCCCTCACTCCCAGCCAGGGGGGAAAAGAAAGTTCATGGATTCCCAAGGGCACCCTGGGTGGCTGAGGCCCTGATACCCACTTGCCCACACCAAGGCTGCACTGTGAACCAGTGGCACTGGAAGGCTGTGACAGGGACTGCATTAGCTACTGATAGCTCTGGGTCCAGCTGGACCTCCCTCAGGGTGAGAATTGGCAGTCCAGCCCCTGCAGCACTCACATACAGTGGGGACCAAGTCCCTGCATCCTGTCACACACTTCAACCCAGGTCCCTTGAACAGGAGCTCCACTTCCTCCTAGATAGTCCATTATGCTCTATCTGATATATCTATGCTATACTATGCTATACACCCAAAGGGCCCTATGCTATTCTATACTATGCACCCAAAGGGCCCTATGCTATTCTATACTATGCACCCAAAGGGCCCTATGCTATTCTATACTATACACCCAAAGGGCCCTATGCTATTCTGTACTATGCACCCAAAGGGCCCTATGCTATTCTGTACTATACACCCAAAGGGCCCTATGCTATTCTGTACTATACACCCAAAGGGCCCTATGCTATTCTGTACTATACACCCAAAGGGCCCTATGCTATTCTATACTATACACCCAAAGGGCCCTATGCTATTCTGTACTATACACCCAAAGGGCCCTATGCTATTCTATACTATACACCCAAAGGGCCTGGGAAAAGCTGCCAGCCAGGTTCACACAGCTGCCACGAGAGGTACCCCAGCTTGTGTAGACTTTACCAGGAGGACAATGGTGAGGAGGCCATCGAATATGTTGCTATGGTAGGACAAGTAGCCCCGCAGACCCAGTGCAAACACCTTGAGCAGTATTTCCAGTAGGTAGTACAAGATGAAGACGTAGTCAAGAATCTGAAAAAGCAAAAGAACCCAACGCCAGCCTACTCTACTGTATCCCCAGAGCTTGTCCTAGGCCCCTCACCTCCTCTGCTGCCTTTGTGGGACCCAATCCCCTGTGCTTAGAGATGGCATTTCTGCTTCTTGCTCTGTCCTATCTCTGAGGTCCACAGAGACCCTAAGGATAAACATCTGCACCTGACCCAGGCCTCCCCAACCAATAGGAAATGCAAGAGAACAGCCCAAGTTAGTCCTTCTCAGAGGAACCTGAGATTGCAGAAGTTGCTCCCAATAGGACAGAGAGCTTGGGGTGAGCTCATCAAAGAAGATGACCTGTACCAGGAAGGGAACACAAGTAACTCTTCCTCTAAAGGGGGTCATGCAGACTCTCCCCACACACAGGAAAGACATACTCCCCAGGTGTACACAGTTTTACTCATTCTGAGCTGTCATTCTACCTCCATGAAACCACTAACAGAATCTAACATGAAGCTTCTGCTTAAAGTTCAAAGTGGAAAGCTTCAAGTCCCAAGGGATTTGATGGAACCTTTTAATACCAGAAGAAATCAAGTTTACTTCCTGAAGGCAAAGCTCAAATCCTGAAGCCATACAGCCCACAGGACCTAGTCAGCACTGCAGCCCAGTTGATCTCTTCTCTCTACAGGACTCTCAGTCTCCCATGGGAGTCACTCTGTCCCCACCTAGACACCCTCTGCCCATATAACCAGAACCTGCACCCCTGTGAGGGATCACAGCTCTGGCTGGACTCAGCCACCCTGTCTCCACCCTGTTTCTCCTCCTCCTCCTCCTCCTCCTCCTCCTCCTCCTCCTCCTCCTCATCATCATCATCATCATCATCATCACTGCTCAGTCCCTAGCAGAGCTGACAGCTTCACGGGCTAGCAGCCCCTGAACTCACCCCCAGGACATAATCATCACGTTCCCCAGGCAGCAGATTTGAGTCCAGAACCAGGAACACCTGCAGAGCCACAGAGGAGGACGGCTTACCATGTGGCCAACCACAGTGTGGGGAGTTTCAAGGGAAGACTGGCTGCAGGAGAGGGTCTCCCACACCACCACACGGTAAGCCCCCACTCACACAGATAGACAAGAGGTTTCCCAGAGCGATGAGGTTCCCCAGGTAGTCGAAGTAGTGATGACTGAAGAGGAACTGGGCACTCTGCAGAAACGGAGACCGGTACTGGGGCATCGGTGGATACTACAAAGAGAATCCACACTCTCAGAGCCATGGTGAAGTAGGTGGCCTGTCTCCTGTTCTAAGGTGACATCCTCCAGTTTTACCTCCTGCCCTGCCTATCCAGCCTCAGAAGTAATCCCAAACACATGGCAGCCTATTCTTAATGACCTCTACAGCAGTGACCTTATACAGCTAGAATGATAAATGTCTAGAGACCTGTAAACAATACCACATTAGTCATTTGAAATGTATGCTAGCAGGGGGAATGGGGCACTAGAAAGATGGCTTAGTGGTTAAGAAGGCAGGTTTTCAGAGGACCCATGTTCAATTCCCAGTACACACATGGTGGCTCATAACTATAACTCCAGTCCCTGGAGATACGACACCCTCTTCTGGCCTCTGCAGGCACCAGCACACATGTGATGCACAGATATACATGCAGACAAAACACCCATACACATAAAATAAATAAAATAGTTAAAAGATAAAATGCATGCTTGGGAGCTAGAGAGATGGCTCAGCAGTTAAGAACACTTGCTGCTCTTACCCAGGCAGTGGTGGCGCACGCCTTTGATCCCAGCACTTGGGAGGCAGAGGCAGGGGAATCTCTGTGAGTTCTAGGCCAGTCTGGTCTCCAAAGATACACAGAGAAACCATGTCTAGAAAAACAAACAAACAAACAAACAAAAGAACACTAGCTGTTCTTGCAGAGGGTCTGATCTCAGCTCCCAGCACCCACATGGTACTTCACAGCCATCTGTAACTCAGTTCAAGTGATCAATGCCCTCTTCTGACCTGTTCCACAGGGACCAGACACACAAATGGCATATACACATATATGTAGATAAACCACTCATACACATAAAAGAAGTATGAGTGAAGGCCTTGTCACTAAGACTGATGACCTGAGTTCTACCCCTAGGATCCATGTGGACAAAGAGAACAGCCTCCCATAAGTTGTCCTCTGACCAACACATGCACTGTGACATGCACATACATACACACAAAAAGTACATAAAATACAATAAAAATTAAAATTGCACTGGGCAGTGATGGCACATGCCTTTGACCCTAGCACTCAGGAGGCAGAGCAGGCAGATCTCTAAGTTCTGAGTTCGAGGTCAGTCTGGTCTACAGAGTGAGTCACAGGACAGCCAGGGAACACTACTCTCTTGAAAAATAAAAAACAAATGAATAAACAAACAAATAAATAAAATTATAAAAGCATACCAAATGGACAACACTTTGTGAAACATTCCCAAAGCTGGCTCACCAACTGCTGGAAGAATAGGACGACAAACCCAGGGCACTGTGGCCAGCCAGAGTGGCCAGCAGTGGAGGACAGCCTTACTAGACCAGCATTTCTGAGGTCCGTGCCTCCCTGGGATACCTCTCCCACATGTACACGGACACATGGGATGGTGGCGGCAGCAGACTGATGCAGCAAACCACAGGGGCAGCCCGATAAGCCTGTGTGTCCACCCTGAGGAGGCAGGGAGAATGCTCCTGCAGCCCCAGGGGCGGGAGTACCACCACACATACACAGTAAGTTTCCATGATAAAACTGAACCACTGACTCAAAGTCCACATTTCAGGTGACAGCTCCAAGTGAAGAACGGTCAAGACTACCAATGGGATGCAGGGAAGAGATTCCATCACCAAGAGCGGTTTACATGGAAAGATCCCCGAACTCCATGAACTCCGTATCAGGGGCGAGCATGCCTAGGACCGCATGGGACAATGTCAACACGCCATGCTGAACAGAATGGCTCCTTTGAAGAGGGTTCTCAAAAAGCAGTCGCTACCTCTCAGCTCTGACTCGCTGTCAACACCAGCTCTACTGTGAATATAATTCTTGCCAGCACCCCTCACCTACAGCAGGCATGGGGTGACTCTCGACAGATAGTGCAGGACAAGACAGGAAGGCCCCCTTTTAAGGTCATCCTTTCTTGGGCACTGTCCCTCAGCCCCAGAGCTCTTCCTTCTCTACAGCAGGTCCTTCGACACACCTGAGACTTCCTTGTACGGAGGGGGCCTTGTTTACACTTCCTCTGTGGTTTCTGCCTGACTAGGAAGCACACTGACACCTTGCTAAGAGAGTTCAGCAACTCCATCACGTTCAAACTTAGCCACACACACTTGTGCAACTTGAGAGCTGAACCGATTGTCTCTCCAATGTCACAGAGGCTGCCTCTGGGGAGGGCAGTGAGGGGACTTTCTATTCTTTCACATCTACAATGGTGACTACTCACTGAAGGACTTTTTGGAAGCTGCATGGTGCCTGCTCTGCATCTGCCAGCGGACACTCAGCCCCTGCTGACAGACAAGCAGATCATACCAGCTGTCACAGCACCAGCCTACCCCAGGGCTGTGGTGATATATTATTTATGATTTAATAAAGATTGCCTGAAGTATCAGAATGCAGAGACAGCCACACTAGTTAGCTATAGAAGCTAGGTAGTGGTAGCACACACCTTTAACCCCAGGACTCAGGATGGATCTCTGTGAGTTCAAGGCCACCTAGGGCTACACAAGAGTGAATCAGCCTAAAAGATTAACAGATCTTTTAGGGCCTTTGATCCCAGCCCTAGAGAGGTATATAAAAGACAGGAGTCCAGTGTCTCAGGCTGCATTCTGAGATTTAGTCCCCAGTCACATTGAGGAGAGGCAGCAGTCTGAGGCTTGGAGACAGGATCACAACCTTTCAGCCTGAGGTAGCGGTAAGAGGTAGTAGCTGGGCTCTTTTGCTTCCCTGATTTTCAGCTTGAAGCTTGAACCCCAATATCTGTCTCTGGGTTTTTATTTTTATTCAGATCATCTCTCTGAATGGGCTGATCCAAAACTACGGCCTGCCCGTAAAGTTAGCAACCCCCAAGTAACTAAACCTCAAAAGTGAAATACAGTCCCCACTGCACTCTGTTTTGGAGAGAAGAGTGATGTAACACCAGGGCAAGGATCCAAGGCTCTCAAAACTTCCAGATTCGAACACATGTCTCAAGACCCAATCCTAGGCTTCAGATCTTGAACCACCAGAAAGAGCATGACCCACAGAGCAGATAAGTAACTGGGAAAGCCAGGTGTGCTCATGCATGCTTTTAACCCTACTATTCTGGAGCAAATACACTGAGTTTCTATGAGTTTGAGGCCAGCCAGGGCTACATAGTGATTTCAAAGACAGCTATGGCTACACAGGAAGACCCTGTCTCAAAGATCCAAAAAGTAGCTGGGAAAAGGAGCCAGAGGAAGGACACAGCTCAAGTGCTAGGCTATCCCCAGCCCGAGCCTGCTCTACAGGGCCTCAGTTGATAGACAGTCTGTGTGTCCTTCCTCTGCAGCACTGTGACAGGAAGCACCTTCTTGTGGATAGATACCACAACATCCTGGCACTGGGAGAAAGAAGAGACAAGGGAGACAGCTACTATGTTCCCCAGAGGTTGACAAGCACCAGTGTAGGGAGAACCAGGACAGCCCAGCATGCACTATTAGGCAAGACCAAGGAATGGAACCTAGATGGAGATTGCTCTCTTGCCCAGGTCTGACTGTACCTAGAAAAGGACTGAGTGACAACAGACCTAGCCTGTATGTCTCTTAAGAGCAGCATCCTGAGACAGCAGACCTCCTGCACAGGCTGGGAACCACTACCTGGAACAGAGCCTTAAGTACTGTGAGGCCCTCTCTAATCACTGCAAGTCTACATCTTTGACTTGGGGCTTCACGTGCCCTCTGACGCCTCAATGCCCACCTGGTCCAAGTAGAGGTCTGATGGCAGAATATATACAAAGTACCCCCTGCTGATAATTCCCTATCATCAGACTCCTGTGTCCCAAGATGGAGGCAGAAGTGATACCCCTAAGGACATCAGGACATCAGCAACAAATGCATGCCTCCAGAAGGCCTGGGGAGGCCTGAGAAAAACATAATTTTAGGACAACCACCTGCGATGAGGACCTGAGACCACACAGGCTGACAACCCTTCTGGAGTGGCTAACAAGAGGGCTGATCCTTCATGCTGCATAGAATTCTCCACTCAAGCCAGCCCCACCCCCAGAGAATGTGATAGTGCCTTTCCAGAGGTGACTATGAGAGTGGTGTGCTGGGGAGGGTCTTAATCCTCATGACTATGTCCTTGTAAGAATTTTGGGACACACACACAGAAGACCACATGCAGACACTGGGAGAAGCCACCATTGGCCAACTCTACAGAGAGGCCTTGAGAGGGCCTGGGCCTGTGATGTCTCCATCTCAGGCTTCCAGCTTCTAGGACATGAGACATTAAATGTCAGTTTCCACGGCTATGGTATGTCCTAAGGCAAGCTGAGCAGCTGGGTCACACAGCACCGGAAGTGTCAAGGCTTCATGTAGCAGGACACATCCAACCCCACCTTAGCTTGTCCTGGTTCAGGATCTCCCTTAGTCCTCTGCCTGCCTTGGGTACCTGAGCTATGCCTGACAAGGCTGCTCACCCCAGAAGCCCACACTGGAACATGCAGGCATTCTTGTCCTCTGCCTGGGGCTGAAGTGGAAGCCAAGACTCCCAAGGCACTGTGCACAAGTGTCAAGAGTTAGAGGCAAATGCTTGGAGAGGGCTGACATTTAGACTCCCAGAGGAAAGGCCAGAGACTTTGTTTCAGACAGAAAAATGCTATGGAATGTTCCTCTGTGTCAGGTTTGCCTCTAGTCAACAAATTCATCCCAAATTGCCAAGAGCCAAAGGATTCCCACTGCCAATCCCAGGAACTAAGGATCCAGGACAGGCAAGTCCTGGCAGTGGTCATTAGAAACAATGGGGAATGGAACCCCACTAGCCCAGACTGGACAGGTAGCACAGGCTGGACCTAGTTACCTCTTTGATCACACCTTTGTCAACTTCATCGAAGAGTTTCTGGAACTCATCAGCCAGCATTGGGCGGCCTTCATAGGAGCACACCTTCTGTAGAAGGAAGGCCAGGTCAGTCACTAGCAATGGGGGAGCGATGCCTGAGCGCCCCCCCTCCCCAACCCATGGGTGGTAAGCACTGGGCTGACGACCCACCCAACAGGAGCTGGGGCAGACCCAGGAAGAGCAGCAACCTGCATGATGGCCTGTTTGTGGATTTTGTGCAGCTGGGTTTTCTGAAGTACTCGCAGGAAGTTCTCAGGATTTACCCCAACTCTGTGACAGAGAAATCCCACCCCAGTGAGCATGCTCAGTGCCAGTCCCCACCCCACCCCACCCCCACCTGAACTTGGCTATGAATCCTCTCTGCTGCATGGAAAATAAGCCTTGGTGAGGTACCACATGGGGTGAGCTGAAGGGTCCTACAAGCCCCGTCTAAGACCCCCAGAGACATCCCTGTAAAGAGGGACAGCAGATGCTGCTGCCACTCACAGTCAAGCCCAGAACTTCCTCAGTGGCACACCAGAGCTATCTGCTCCTTTCTCTGGATAGGATAACGGAAGCACTGAGAGCTTGACAGTTTACACAGCTCCAAATGGAATATCCAGTCTGGCGCCAGTCAGTAGGGGCTACTCAGGAAACCCCTAATGAGAACCCAGCTCCCCCTCCCTGAAGCAAAAGACCTTAGTGCCCTGGGGGGAGGACTCCACCCAGCACTCACGCCTCAGAGGTGGCTCCAGCCAGTCCTGCTGTGGACGCAAGGACTTCATAGGCCGCTCGGGCCCCCAGCCGCCGCCGGAACAATGAGGTCTGTAGAGACTTCTGTAAAGACGATGACTCTGAACTCCCAGCTCTGAAAGTTCCCGCACATCCTTGCCCACCCTGCCCTGGGAGTGGGCTAAGAGGGAGCCTAGGAAGACAGCCCCACTTGTTGGGAACACTACAAGGGGCAGCCCTCAAAGGAGGGAGCACAGCCAAGGCAAGGCAGGGATGGATGCTGACCGTGGCTCACTATTCAAGTCTCTAAGGCCTGCATTTCTTCTCTGTGCATTTAGGATGCAGATCTGACAACTGGGTGTTTTCCTCTTGGTGGAGGAGGGCTGAGAAGGAAACCCTGGGTAGCCATGGCAATACCTGTGCTACAGAAATAACCCACGGCAGAGATAGTTTATCTGAGCCGGTCCACAAGAGGGGGCAACTGGCTCCCTGTCCCACCGGGGTCAGCAGACTCAGGGTCCACTCTGCCTGGCATCTGGGCCAGCTCTGGCACAGCTCAGCAGGGGCTCAGGGCAGCTCACCATCAGGTAGCCACGGAACTGATTATAGATGATGGCCGTCAGCAGGTTCATCAGAAACAAACTTCCTGGGAAATGAAAAAACAACAAGAATCTGACCAGAGGCCAGTGGGGCAGAGCCTGCAACAGCCAGTGACCAAAACCTTCCCCGGGCTCAAAGGTGTCAGCAAGCCTGGCCATGGTGGCCAGGAGCTCAGGATGACCAATCACAGTCACATTCACAGAGTTCTCTTTGCCTCCTAACAGGGACACACACCCTCCCCCAAACTCCTACATCTTTACAAGGCCGAGTATGCCTAGCTACAGACAGACAGGCGCACCAGCTGTTACAGACACCGCAGGGAAGAGTGGGGAGGGCATGCCTTAGCATGAAGCTGGGGTGGGGGCAGACCAGGGTGGTATGGGGGAACTGCAGTGACACTACAGGGATGAGGCAGGCTGAGGCGAAGGACGGGAAAGCAGTATAGTGGGGCCATGCTGAGGATGGGGAGCAGAGGTGAAGCCATAGGTGGACAAGCTAAGATGGAGGCATAAGCTGGCAGCAAGCTGAGGGAGCGGGCGGAGGTGCAGTTACAGGGTGGGGACGGTTGAAGGGAAGGTCTAGGGGATGAGCTGAGGTAAAGCTATGAGGTGAGGCAGGATAAGGTCAAGTGAAGGGTTATAGGGGAGGGTAAGTGAAGGCGAGGGCAGACTGAGGCAAAGTTACAGGAAGAAGCAAGCCAAGGAGAGTTAGCCAGTGGAGGCCAGTTTATAGCCATCCCCAGCATGGTATCCACACAGGCCCACCTGCACTTACCTATCAAGGTGAAGATTATGAAGAAGAGGGCATAGGCCCGGTTCTGGGTATACGCGGGAATCATCACTGAGACAAAGAAAGAGTCAGAGGCTAAACACATACTGCAGCACCTGGCCCCATTTCCATCCTGATCCTGAGGGACTGAGGACTTCATGTTCCATCACTGGTACCCCCTGGGATGGGTGCTCACCCCTTTGTTGATGGGCCTGCCTGTGACCACACCCCAGGCCACACAGCTCTCCCCACAGTGACTGTCTTGGGGTCAGGCTACACAACACTTCTGGGATGGGAATTCCAGGCTGCCCTCAGGGGAAGTCTCCAAGGTTGTGAGGAAAAACCTAAGACCAGGATAAACAGCAGCAGCCACAGTGACCAGGCCACAGCGGATATCAGGACTGTAGCTTGCCCATCCTGGCACAGCCTACACTGGAGTAGCTGGAGGACCTGGCAGCACCCAGCCATGACCAGGTAAGATTTGGGACCTCTCACACTCGAAGCTCCTGATGGCATGCACCTCACAACAGGTCCCGGTGGCGAGGGGGAGCATGGCTGGGCCCCAAAGAGGCCACTATAGGAACCACTGATCAACGCCACGTTACCACTTATCACCATACACTTTCAGTTTCTCCAAGGGATAAAGTGACAAGACAAAGGGAAGGGGAGAGAAGAGACTGGAAGGGACCGAGAACACAAAGGGGTGAGAGGAAAGGTGGAAGGGGGCCATGAATAGGGCTTACACACTCAGGGCCAGCTCCACAACTCCACATCCCAACCAGCCCTCCCAGGCCAGGCTCTCTGCCCCTCCCATCTCCCATACTCCACACGCACCATCAGGATTGTTGGAAGTTGTCAGCAGTATGAGGAGTGAGGTCAATGCCTCTGGAAGGTTCCGGAAGTAGGCCAGCCTCTCCTTGTTCTGTGCTTCATCCTGAGAGCAGATGAGGCAGCCACCTGGACCTCTGTTCCCCAGCTGAGGTCGTGGTCTGACCCAGCTCCCCCTCAGACCCACAGCCAGGACCACACACAGTTTAGGGGTGGGGTCAGCACTCCTGACCTGCATCTGCCCATCACTTCCCAGCAGGCTCTAAATGAAGGGCCTGCAGGCACATATGCAGGCTTCTGACTACAATGGCCTATCCAGAATTTAACGGATTTCCCCAAGCCGGCCTACCTGAGCATAGCAGCATGGCAGCCTGGCAGCCAAGCAACAACATGAAAGACCAGTCCTCCTTGGAACCTGACTGTCAGATGCTGTGTGCACAGTGAGGAAGAGCCAGGGAGCAAGACTGGAAAGTGTGGCCTCAAGGAAGCTGCCCAGGGTAGTGGGGTGTCTCTAGTGAGTTGGGATGGGACCCCGGGAGAGACTCATGGTTCCAGAAGCAGAGCCCCCTGGCCACTCATGGCACTCAGAGGCCTTTTCCACACAGCTATGGCTCATCCCAGCTGTCAGCACAGGCAGCCGGGCCTAGGAGTCCAGCCTCTGTCCTCCCTGATATGGAGGGCAGTAAATATGGGCAGCTTACCTGCCTCAAAGTAACCCCAACTCCAGACTCCTCAACTCAGGGTTGTCCCCTAGAGCCACCCCGTGCCTACCAAGTTGCAGACTCCATCCAGAAAATGGGTGGCAATGTAAACGGGACAAGTGACATACAGGAAGCAGAATGCATGCTCACAGAACCAGCTGTCTCCCAAAGCAACTTCAAAGCCGAGTTCCCCTTGCCATCAAGAGGCCAACTCTGCCAACACCCCAGCAAGTAGCCACCTGATGCAGTCTCCCTGCTGCACAGGATCCAGGGCGAACATTAACCCTAGGATCCACTAGTCTCATGTACAAAATAGCACTGCCACCCATGGGGCCAGACAACAGATGAGTGACTAGTGGTAACAGATGCCACGAATGGCCAGGGGTGGGGGACAAGAATGTCACAAGAAGCAACAAGGTTGAGAGGCATGCTGAGCACGGGAGGGGCAAGACGCTGCTACTGGAGGACCAGATAGCCCCACCAGAGTTCAGGACAGGACACCAAACACCTTCAAAGACACTGCTCAGATAAGGGACCCAGAGGACAAGCCATCTCCCAAGCACATGTCCAGGGACAGTATTAGAGGACTGAAGGCACCCTCCAGGGCCTGAATCAATCTCCTAACTCACCAAGTGAGCTCAGGGAAGGTTTCATGTTGGCTGAGGAAGGTTCTAGCACCTGCATCAGTCTCCAGACAAGGCAAGTGAGGCTGGGAGTCAGGGGGATGACAGGCCTCCAAGGCCTGGCCCATCTGTCTCCCAGCAAGTCTCTTGCAACACCCCGACAAGTCTACTCCCTTCCACAAGCTGTGTAGGCTCTTCTGAGCCATGGGCCTGCGGTAGAAGAGAAAGCCCTGGCTGTAGGAACTTGGGTTCATACCCAGCCCACTGTCAACACATGGCCACAGCCTTAGTGCAATGACAATGCCACTGTAAGGACCACATGCCCCAAATGCCAGCACCATGTGGTGAGGAAGATATGGGTAGCGAGTGAGTCAGCTACAGACAACGCCTGCAGAAGGGGCTCAGACAAGGTTAGGTGTGTATCCTCAGCTATTACAAGCTTGGAGACCCCAGGCTGGGCCATGGGGACATGCAGCAGGCTTTCCAGGTGAGGCTGGCACAGTTGGAGATGGTCAAGGACAAGGAACTCAGCATGGGTCAGTCCTCATACCCTCCCAACTACAACAGAGGACAAGCAATGGGATGCTTGTCAAGACCATGGCAGGAAGTCACCCTCAATTACACAACCCTCACCCTGCTCAGCCTGGTTCCCCTTCATGGGGCAGGAACCCAGTTTGTAGGAAGAACCTTCTGGTAGCTCTGCATATAGCACTCTTAGGGAGAGGTCCCCACATTCATCTTGAGGTGAGGCTATAGCCACTGCCAGTCCCCATACTGCCTGCCTGTCTGCCTGTCTGCCTGCCTAACCCAGGCTCTGAGAAACAGCAGTGGTCATAGTCATGGGCAGTCACACAGAGGTCTCAAAGGTATGGAAGGCTGTCCAGCCCCTGCCACCATAGACATGCATTCATAGACCCAGGAACTCACTGGACACATCATGGAGACACCTACACACACAGAGATGGGGACACACTACACGAAGACACAGAGACACAGACATGAGACACATCCAGACATGCACACAGAAGCATATCTATATACTTATATGGGGACACACCCAAGACATGTACACAAACACAACCATATACACAGAGACACACAGAAACACAGACATAGACATGGAGACATACCCAGATACAGACAAATACAGATATGCATACTCACATATAGACACTGACACACTCACAGACATGTACACAGACACACAACACGTGAGACACACACAGGCATACAAATGGCACAAACACAGACTCAACAGATACGTACATGTCACAAATGACTGGGGTGGAGGCCATGGATGTCACAACAAGTGACACGGTTGGGAGACTGGCTGGGCACAGGAAAGGCAGGGAACACCCACAGTCACACACTACACATCCTGAGATACCCCCAGACAAGAGTTATCTAGAGTCGTACGGCCATGAGAGGCACACATATGCAGAGATACTCACATGCAGCCAACACAGGACCACCCCAGCACCCCAGGTTTGGAAGGCACTATCTTGTCTTCTCCTACCCTGGCAGCATAGCTCCATTATGCCACTCAGTGTCAGGAGGGAACCAGCTGTGACCACACCAGTCATACCCCACAACAGATGCAGAGATGCAAGATGGCCCAAGCTGGAGGACAGTGATCTGGCCTGGACATACCCTTGCTAGACATGAGGAAAGACACAGAACCTAAAGTTGAGCAACCAAAGCAGACATCCCCACAGACAGACAGATGGACATCTCCCCATGGTAGCAAGTTGCTAGGGTCAAAGCCTCAACTACAGCAGGGCAGGGCAGGGGCCCAGAGTCAGACACCAGGAACTTAGTCAAACATTGCTGGGGCTTGGAGCAGGAGCCAGGAAAGGTAACCCTGGCTGTGGCATGATCAGACTCGAGAGGAACCCTTAAGCCACCCTCAGTGAAGAGCCAGTCACACAGGGACATGGAGAAGGCAGCCAGGGCAGAGGACAAGGGTGGACAAAGGCTTCAGTGAAGGGAGTACTGGCCATGCGGAAAACAGACCCTCAAGAGGTGACATGCCGGCTTCCTGGTCCGTCACCCTTGGCTACCCTGGCTACTCCAGAGCAGGCAGGCTTTGTGGGACAAGGGCCTGAGTCCCACCTATGGCCAAGGTCATACTCACCTTCTCGCCAATGGAGAACAGTAGCATCCCAATTATGGTGAAGAGGCACAAGTGGATAGTCAGCAGCAACACGACACTGGGAGAAAGGACGGTGCTCAGCCGAGTATGGCACAGGCCACACACCCAAAGAAGCGTCACACCATCCTGCCCATGGTCTCAAGCATGGGCACAGTGTTCCCTCCTCTCCTTGGAAACACTGAGTATGTTCAGCCCTGGGTCAGGAACTTGAAGTCAAGCCTACCCTAGCTCCTCCATTTGTGGTGGGACACAACCCCGGGAACATGCCAGCAAGGAACCAGGACACAGAGGACAGAGGTCATTTACATCTTTTTAGGCCAGACAGGCAAGTGGTCTACCAGGGAAGGGACTGGAGGCAGAGGGAGGACGTGGGTGACATTTTTTCCTGGCAGGAGCCAAGAGGGCTGGGAGGGGCCTGGGGAGTTGAAGGCTCCACAGCCCTGAGCCCCAAGAGCTACATGGATTCCAGGCCAGCATAGCTGCGCAGTGTAAGAGGCAGCCAAACGGAAGCTGCAGGTACTGGCAACCAACAGGAGACCCCAGTGACAGAAATGAGGCACCTGCTCAACTCGGCAACCGGGTGTGGTCGGTGTGAATCTATAGTGTCTAACCAGATCTGACCAGGATCCCAGACACTGCCCACTGACTCCTCAACCATATCCAATAGGAGCAGGCCTACCCTCTAGTCCCTCTGGCCCAGCTTGCAGCTTCCAGCCCCAGTGCTCACCTGGCCATTTCTGGCAGCGACGACCGTATACACTTCAGGGTCTTCTTCATCATGGAGGAATTCTGCATCAGGAAAAAGGGACGGAGTGATCGGCGCACCCGCAGGGACTGGAAGACAAGAAGCCAACCATTGGATCGGGACCACACACACACACCTTCCTTTGAGGGATCCCAGAGCATGGAGAAGGGAGTAGTCCCTGCCAACCACCCCAGCCATCCTAGGCCCGCTAGCCACAGTGCTGACAGCTTACAGAATTCCTTGTATCTTGGCCTGATGCCCCGCCCCCTACTCACTATCCTGGGTCCCTTTCCATCACAGCACCCGTCACACTGCAACTATCTATCAGCGCCTCCCTTTCTAGCACCTGGTAACACAGGACAATGGCCCACCAGCACCAACATGACAGGCTCCCAAGGGACCCTTGTGCTCCTAGGCTGTGCTCATACAGAAAGGTCCCAGAGCCTGGAACGGAATGGGAGAACAACAGGAACCACAACAACCAGAAAACGGCTTAGAGCTCAGCCCAACCCAGATACCCTGCCTGGCTCCCATGACTGAGAGGTCAATGCCCTCAGCTCCCTGGACCACCACATACCACCCACAGTGGCAGCCCAGAACCCATGTTCTCCAGCTCTCCAGACACTCATTATACCTCCAGGAACCTGGGCCACCTCCAGTCATGCAGGGACACAACGGCTACTCATTTATGGTCTTGCTGTCTGTGTGGGCCTAGCAATGCCACAGACTAAGGATGAGAGAAGGTACATCCAGATGACCATCTCCAAGGATGACAATATTGAAAATCAGAACCCAGATCCCAGACTGGAAGCAAGCATCCAGAGAGAGAGTGTGTGTATGCACCAGTGCCTGGTAGACCTTATGTCAACTGATTCATCCACCATGAAGACTTATTGGACAGAAGCCAAACCTGGTCTGGCAAAGCAGGCCAGGAGCCCGGTCCTCCCCATCAAGACACCCAGCATCTGTGGGAGTGCTTCAAGAGGGTCCTGACAGCTATAAAAGTTCTGAGTCACACAGCCACCTAAGCAAAGATGGACTCACGCAGCATGACAGCCTTAGGTGAAAAAGTCCCTTAGAGAGAGGTGGCAGGCAGGGGTCCTGCTTACTGGACATGATTCCTGAGAGCAGAAAATGCTGTGGAAAGAGCTGAAGGATTAGAAACAGGGGGTTTGGAGGACATATATGGACAGGTGCCTCCAAACAGGCACAGGATACCCAGGGCTCAGGCCCCAGAAGTGTTCAACCAGTGTATCAACTCAACAGGTCCTACAAATACCCCGAGCCTCTAACCTCAGCTACACAGGAAGGAGCCACCAGGATGGAGGGTCTACCTGGGGCCAATGACACACCCACTCTGCAGAGCAGAGCCCAGCACAAGGCCCCTCCCTATGTGGGTACTGACCCATCCCTGAACAGCTATGTCAGTCATGCTCTGCTCTGTCCATGGTGTCTTACCAAGCACCACCGTCCCAGAGCTTGGAAATGACCCAGTGATCCGTTCCCACTATCTCAGTGTGACACATGCTGCTGCAAGTCAGAGGAACCCTCCTGCAATGTGGCTGCCAGATCTGTGACCTGCAGGAAGGGTCCAGGGTCTCAGAGGGTTCAGCTGGACACGAAGCTGGGTATTAGTGACCACATCTCTACTGTTCATCTTGCCATGCTGGGCCCTATTAGTCTGGAAGCACCTACTTCCAAAGGCAAAAGTCACCAAGGACACACACTGGTCCTACCACACGGGAACCTAACTTGTCCAAAGGGCGAATAACCAACTCCAGAGGACAGCACAGGACACTACCCCTCAGAGTGATATGGAGGCCCCAAGTCCTCCAGGGAAAACTACAGCTGGGGGCTGTGGAGCTCAGTGGTAGAGCACTTGTCCAGCATGTACAAGGCTCTGGAAGGGGATGACGCAGCACTCCAGCTATCAAAAAAGAAAAAAAAAAAAAAAAAAAGAGGTAGAACTAGAGAATCCACTTCTAGGAGTAAAGGTCTTGGTGTCCATGACAAACCTGGCCAGGTAACAAATATGAGGCACAGGGACAGCAGCAGGTTGCAGAGGGACATTACAAAGACACTTAGAAGGTCAGGGCTTCTCTGTGCATCCCAACCCTGGCTCATTTACTGGGTGGACTCTTTAGTGTGTCACTAGGAGTTTCTTCCCCTCATCGCCCCCCCCCCACCCTGGCAGCACATAAGCACCCTTCGCAGAGGTACGACTGGTACTTGGCCTGCCAGGTGCAGAGACCCATGGGAAGCTTCAGTAAGAAATGGTGGCTGTAGGCCACCTTCCTCCTGTTCCGGGAAGGCGTGAGCACCTCTTCCTCAATCAGAAGAGGAGCTGCATCTGACAAGGGAGGGCAAAATCCTGTCCTGAGCAGACACAGGAAGTAGAAGGTGCCAAACAGCTATGGCACTGCGTCTGTGCTCCCTCTTTCTGCTGAGTACAGGGGCAGGGACCCAACACCCACCACTCTGCCATCAGCTCCCTGTAGGGCCTGAGGCAGACTGCAGGCTTGTGGTGAGAGACAAGCTCCCCTCCTTCCCATCACCGGCTGTCCTTACCAGGCAGGACCCACCCAAAGGGTAGAGGGCAAGTCAGCTCTGCAGCCGGGATCCTCCCAGGATCCCAAGAGTTGTTTCCATCAGCCCTCTAGGCTCCACTCAGTCCTCAGCACCAGTCTTAGTCTCTCTACTGAATTCTCACCAAGGAAACCATCTTCCCATCACACACTAACAGAACCATGAAGGCCAAGTCAACCTGCCCCTGTCTTGCTACCCACACCACCTCCCTGGGACCCGGGAGCTTCTGAGGAAGCATGGTACTGTGGTCAGAGCTGAGATAGTGGATAAGACTTGTTAGTGCTAGCCGGGCACACACCTTAATCCCAGCACTCGGGAGGCAGAGGCAGGTGGATCTCTGTGAGTTCAAGGCCAGCCTGGTCTACAGAGAGAGTTCCAGGACCGCCTCCAAAACAACACAGAGAAACCCTGTCTCGAAAAACCAAAAAAAAAAAAAAAAAAAAAAGACGTGTTAGTGCTGAGTTCAGACAGCTCTGGGTGTGGAACTACAGTGGTGCCCTTGGATGGCTCTCTTATAAGGGACCTAGCCAGGAGAGTTCACTGCAACCGGCAGGATCGGAAGTCACAGCAACGTGGACCCTGCTTCCAGGTCCTCTCACCAGGGACACCACAGGGGAAACCTTGGCCTTCAAGCCACAGCCCCTTTGCTACAGTGGGGGAAACCAAAGCCCTCCAGGATATGGACAGCACCGGGCATGTGGACACATGCCCCAGGGCTCAGCTTCAAATGTACACCATACCCACAGTACTGCCTCAGTCTCAGAGATGATGTACTTACTACCTACCTCCTCACAAGAGAGACTCAGTGAAACAGTCCAGTCCACCACAGACACAACCAGCACCACAAAGTAGGCAAGCAGCCACAGGTTGTCCTGCAACTGGGCCTGCCCCACAAGGTAGCTCTGCAAGAGATGAAGAAAGGCAAACATCAAGTCAGGCAGACATGGGCCTGCAGCCAGGCAGAGGGCATCAGTGCACACCCATGGACGTGGGTAACAGAGGAGTTCAACGGTCCAGTCTCTGTGCACTATTGGTGGGGAATGAGGGGTTGAGCAGGGGTCCTGCAAGGATGCTAATGGCTCACTGTCACCTCAGGAGTGTCACTTATTCTCTCTGGCTGGGTTCCTCATTGGTGACAGGGGTCCACCAGGTTTGTCTATCTAAGCTACCAGTGCATGCTGAGCAAACAGGAGAACATTCCGAAAGACAGGAGAAAAAAGGACATGCACTGGGTTGGCTTGACAGCCATTCCAGGAAGACGACCCAGGAGGCGAGTCCTGTCTTCCTGACCTCTTCATGTCCCACCATCACTGCCTCCAGAGGTCCCAGCCCATGGATTAAAAACCTCTGATCTCTTTCACCTTGAGAATATACTCATGTATCAGTCATTCAGCAAGCGAATACTAAATTCTCACCAGTTAAAAACCTAGAGCTGCCCATGACATCATGGGCAAAGATAGAAAAAAAATGAGAAGCCCTGCGCACACCAATTACACACACACACACACACACACACACACACACACACACGTAAACAACCTAAAACAGCACACACACACCAGGCCTACATTCAAGTGCCAAGGCTCACCGGCAGCCACACAATGATAGATCAGGGCATCTGGACAACACTTTGTGGGTAGGATCTAGGCACCACCCACCTCACCTTCACAGAGAAGTCAACCACGAAGACCAGCATGCAGAGACCCTCGATAGTCTCCGTCAACCCACAGGGCGGCTGCCAGGGCTGGGAGCGGTAGCGCACATCTGCAGTTCTCGTGAGTGATGATGGGAACTCCACAAAAGCCAGGGCCAGGATCAAGAAAATGGTGAAGCCCAGCACTCTGGGAAGGGGACAAACACTGTCAGTGTGTGAGAGGCTATTGCCTATTGGGCCAGGAAGCCTACTAGGAGGTGTACTAGGGTCTAGGGTTGGAAGGTAGCAACTGGCATTTCTTGGCTGTGGCTACCATGCTTGCGCAAGACTCAGTGGCTAGGCTGACCCAGCATTCTGAGGAGGAAGCCCTTACCACCAATAGCCTCATGACCACAGCTGGCTCCTCTGTGGAGGAGGCACCAGGGTCATCTCTATGTCCATGAGAACTAGGAGTATGCTTAGCCCAAGACAGTTGTAGGGTCAGTCCAACCCCACCACGCAGGTCTGCACAGCCTGGTTCCACTAGGGTGCAGTCTCACCGCTGGCACAGGTCCGAGTAATACCAGCGGTAAAGCCACAATGAGCCAGCATCCATGCGGTGGTAGATGGAGCGGTACTGGAAACAAAGGGCACATGGTGAGCTTGAGACAGATCCTCCCCCAACACTGAGCCCCGCACAGAACGAAATGAGCAGAGTCCCTCCAATGCCACACAGTACAGGGAAGGGGCTAGGGTCCCTGGCCCAGTGCTGCACACAGACAGGCTTTAGCATTGTTCCCAAGCGCTACACACAAAGAGGTTTGAGTCGGGTCTCCCCAGCACCTCACACACAGGACGGGAGAACCTGCCAGTGCTGCCACACACTGGGCTTGAGCAGGGCCCACACAGTGGCACACACATATGGGTATGGGAGGGGCTACTCTTGATGCCATATATGTGTGCTCTGACTGTACCCACATACCACATGTGGCCCAATGCAGAGGTCCAATCTCCCCAGAGGCAGGCCCAATCCAGCCTGTGTCAGTGAGTAGTATCAGCAGGGGGACAGCAGCCCCTCACTGAGTTCTGGCTTAGACAAGCACAAGCTACAGAGCTTACTCAGTGGGAGAGCTCCCTTAGTACAGGTGAAGGCTGTACATGGAAGGCCAGTTCCACTCTCCAATACAACTGTATCCATCCTGCAGATGTCTCCCAGACCTGGGCCTAGCACAGGACGGTCCAAGTCAGGCTTCGGTACATACTAAATCAATGGCACCATGATTCCAACACTAAGAAGACAGCCTTCATCAAAGGACAAGTGAGAGCTGGGTCCAGGTTCCTGCCATTGTGTCTATCCTGAATGAAGGTCCCCACCCTAGGACAGTAAGGAACAAAGGGACAGGGTAGACTCCTGGTCACCAGGGCAGCCACTACACACATTTATGGCATCTTCAATGAAGACCACAGCCTGGTGTATGCAGAGCTCCTGACTGGCTGTGGCACCTGTAGGTAAAGAGAACACAGTAAGTAAACAGATAGGACAGTGCAGCCTCACCTAAATAGGACAGCGTAGCCTCACCTCTACAGGGTGAGCACGTGTAGGAAGGAGGCCAGCTGCGGCTATCTGCAGCCAGAGACCCTCCACTCTGCAGCAGCTCAGGTACCTGTCCAGGCCAGAGCGCCATCCAGGTAAAAGACACATGGCACGAGTGGAAGAATCAGGCCCAGAACAAAGCCACCCTATGACCACCACTGCCCAGGGCACAGCATGCACAAAGGCCTGTGGAACCCTGGCTCCATACCCGGGGTTCAGAGCCCACGGCCATCTACTAACATGGAAAGAGCAGGAATGGTCAAGCTTGTCAAGTGGATGCCAGTGGCCACATGCCTGGCTCCCGAATGGATGCCTGTGGTGCAGGAGCCCCTGGGGCCCAAGTAGGCTCAGTGAAGGGGTTGTCATCACCACTCTGCCCTCACCACCCATGCTACCCCACTTCAGCCAGTATCCTCCACTGTGAGATGGGGCAGCCTCTACTCAATGAACACCAGATTCCCCACCAACACGGGGAACTGCAGCTAGAATCGAAGGTGTCACTCTCACTCTCCTGCCAACACCAACAACCACAGAGCTCTCTCCCCCTCCCCTCCTTCAGGACCAGGTAGACCCCAGAGCAAAGGAGCTAGGGCACTGTGTAGCCCTAACAATTCCCATCACATCCTGCTGGAAACAAGGTGAACAATCCAGCTATGCCAGTTTGCGGTTCTGGTTTTTATAAAATCTGGTCTCTTGGTACCCACAGGAGCCATGTCCTGATAAGAACAGAGCCCTACAGCAAGAAGCCCCGAGGCCAGTGGACAGCCATGGACAGAGCCCCTGTGGAGGCCTACCCAGTGAACCCTCCGTCTCTGAAAAGCCACCTGCTCTAGTCTTGGGGCTCACACCTAGGATCACAGAACAGAGGCAGTAAAACCCCAGAGGGTGACCAGAGCTGGGCCTCACTCGTGGCTCTGCCCCGGCCATGCCACAACACATTGTCAGCCAGGACCCCAGTCTCCCCACATGCATGTCCACGAGGCTTATCCTAAAGACACCATAACTGCTTCTCAGAGAGGCTCGGAGGGTTGGGTGTTGGCGTTCCTGAAGGTTTCCTGGGATGGCTAGGAACAAGAAGCCATACTGCTGTGCTCCCAGCATGGCGTAACTGAAGGCCAACTGGCCTAGAGAGAAAGACAGCAGAGGGCAGCCTGGGAGAGCCTGGAAGCCTAGCCATGCCCTAGAGAGAGTAACCTGGGCCTGGAGTCATAAACCATAATGACTTCTTAGACACAAAACTAGCCGAGTCTCAGAACTGGCTACGAGGACTCACGTCCACCCAGACAAGCCATCACAGGCGTGGGTCAGCACCCTGGGGCTCTGTAACAACAGGGGCCCTTTCATGTAGCTTCTGGCTGCTAGTGTGTAAGATTCTTGGTCCTGCTACCTGAGCTCACCCAGGCAGCAGGTGCCTGAAGAAGGCTCTCGCACTCACACTTCCGCATCCTCCCCATCCTGCAGCTCTAGGAAGCTTGTCGTCATGGGTTTCTAGGGCTTCCCTATACTCCGGGTCCACACTCTGCCCATCCTGACACTTTCAGGGACCCACTCTGCCCACCCCCTCCATCCCCTGCTGCTTCAGCACCCTGCCCCAGTCATGCCACACATTCTGAACTTGACTCTGTGGAGGCCTGCCTCTCTGGAGCCTCTGAGCCCATGCCCAGGCTGCCAACTCTGCCAGAGAATCTTCCTCCAACCTGACGGTCCAGAGACTCTCCCAGGGCTACCTGCCCTGCCCTGAGCTCATCACCTTAGGGTCGCAATCACCTGTTGATACCTTTAACTCCAACCATGCAAGCCAGGGGACTTCTGAGCACATCAGAATGAGGCAAAGTATGGGACAATAACAGGGGCTCAGAACCTTTGTCCCTGATGATACCTATGGACAAATCTCTCTACCTTCTACTTCCTGACAGCCAGGTCCAGGATTGCTCTGCCTCTCACTCCAGACTCTATACATCTGATCTAGATCCCTGCCCAGCATGCTGTGTGACCTTTCTGCAGTTTCCTTCCTGACTCCTCCCAGCAGGACCCAGAAGATGCTCAGCTTTGCAGTTAGCCCACAAAGCCTATAAAGCACCCTTATCCTGTTCCATACCAGCCAGGAGAAACAAGATGAAACTACTCGGCAACATTTGGTGAGGGCCAGTCAGATAGGCCTGATTCAGCAGAACACAATTGCAGGGACCCCTGGGTCCTTGAGGAGACCGGCAGCAGTGACGCCTGACCCATCTGGGAGTCTGATCCCAGGGCAGCCAAACCCAGAGCCAGGAGACCACCTCTCTCTCACCCACAGGATGCTGGTGTGGGGACTGAAAGATGCACTCATGGGCAGCCCAGCCCAGGAGGTGCAAACACAAAGAGTGTTGTCTGGGTTCCCGGCCCTAGCCAAAGCCAAGTGTTGGACAAAGAGCCCCCAGAGTCTCTCAGACAACACTGCCCAGTCTTGAGTCTTGCCTCAACAGAGAAGACGGAATCTGTTACTTGTTCATTCTGCAGGGCCAGGACTTACAAGCATCATGGCCCTGCTATCCTGGACATCTGTCAGACCCATACACCAGACTCCACAGAAACTCCCTTTGCATCCTCCAAATGTGTCCCCCACCCCACCAACCCGTCACTACCCCCTTTTAATGAGACTCAAGCTAAGCAACCTGCCAAAGTCCTACACCCAGCAGCCCCAGAAAGGTTCCCAGATGCCCCAACACAAAGCATGTGTCTCCTGAACCATATGTCTCAACACTCACAACAGGGGACCGAGGGGTTGGAAGTGTGGTCACCTCAGCCTCTAGCTTTCCCATCGCCTATTAGGGACCTCTGTGGCCTCATGATTCAACAGAAAGGCATGAGGGACCACTGTGCCAATCTAGTCTGCTCCCAACAGAAGAGAAAGGAGGTCCAGAAAGGGAAGTTGGAATGCCCAGGCCTGCACACACAGACCAGTACTGGCAGAGCTGTGACCTTAGTAGGTCAGAGGTGGCGAGGGCTCCTCTCCTCTCTCTCCTTGGCCTAGGTTTCCTCACCTGGAAAATGAGAATAAGATCTTCTGCCTCTCAGCCACTACCTAACCCTCCCCAGATGGCTGGGAGGGCAACTCCACTCTCCCTGAGTTCAGCAGTGCCCCTAACCACAGGAAGGGAAGAGCAGGAGAGAAAGGATGGGGCCCCCAGCACTTAAGGGGACAGGGAAGGAAGCCACCCTGGCCAGCCTCGGGACACCAGCTTCAGCCCCTAGCACTCAGAGCAAAGTCACTCCCAGAAGGATGTTCAGCCACTTATGCTTGGAGACCATGAGTCGGAAAACTCTTCTCTCTCTAAGCCTCAGTTGCCCCATGAGGAAGGAGTTGAAGTGGCGGTGCAAGTGGAGGCAAGAAGATCTGGAGTTCAAAGCCAGCCTGGTTACCTGAGACCCTGTCTCAAAAAGTTAGGAGAAAAAAAAGAAAAAGAAAAATGAGAGTGCCACCTCACTCACCAGAACGGGCCTGGCCACCGCCTCGGTCCCTGCCCAGAAGGGGCTGCGCCTCAGTCGCCATCCCACCACCAACACAGACTCGGCACCAGCAGCGAGAACCTGGCGTTCCGGAGGAGGAGCGACCGCTCTGTGATGACTCCCAGCTACAGCCAATGAGAACGGAGGAATCATGCTGGGAAGCGGAAGCAACAAGCCCCGCCTCCAATGGGTGGAGCTCTGCTTCCTTCCAGCGGCGGTGGGGGGAGGGGAGGGGGGAGGAGGGGCGGGGGACAGAAGTGGGAAGGTGAGTTCTAAGGAAGTTTTCTACCTAAGCAAATTACTGCTATCTCCTTCCAGCTGTAGGAATGTCAACTCTTGCTTTGTTTTGGGATTTTGCCTGGATTTTTTTGTTTTTTATTCCCAAGTACTTATAATATGCCATGCAAGCTCTCTCCCTGTAACTACGCCCGGAACCCAGAAGTGTTTAAACAAGCATTTTGCATGACTCTGACTCATGTAAGTATTGTGTACAAGAGATTGACCACAAAGGTCACCACCACCCCAATGGAGCTTGAGTCTCTCCTCTGAAAATAAGAAAACTAAATATATATGTTGGGAGGCAGAGGCAGGCGAATCTATATGAGGTCCAGGCCAGCCTGGTCTACAGAGTGAGTGCAAGGACAGGCTCCAATGCTACACACAAAGAAACCTGGTCTCAGAAAATCAAGTGGGGGGGGGGGGGAAGAAGGGGGGAGGGGGAGGAGGAGGGAGAAGAAAGAAGAAAAATTAAATATAATTAAAGGTAAAATGAAGCTGGACATGTTGCTGCACATACCTGGAACCCAGTCACTGCAGCAGCAGAGACAAGAGGACTGATGTCGGTTGGAGAATAGTCTGCTACTAGCTAGTTCCAGGGAGAGAGAGACAGAGAAAAAGAAAGAGATAAACAGAGAGAGACAAAAAGACAGAGACAGCTGTCATCTGTTGCCTGTCAGTCTTGGAGATCAGAAGTCCAAAGATGGCATAGAATTCCTCTCTATGTCTTGGGGACTCAGAAGGCTGAAACTAAGTATGGCCACTATGCTGGGGTCTTTTTAATTTTATTATTTTATTTTTATTGTTATTATTATTTGATTTTGTTGTGCATGTGTATTTGTATGTATGCATGTGATGTATGGTATATGTGTATGTATGATTTGTGTATGTGTGTGATGTGTGTGCGGTGTGTATGTATGTGTGATGTATGATATGTGTGTGTGTGTGATGTATGGTGTATGTGTGGTGTATATGTGTATGTATGATATGTGTGTGATGTATGGTGTATGTGTGTGTGTGGTGTATGTGTATATGTGTATGTATGATCTGTATGTGTCACTGTGTGTATGTGCCAGTACAGACATACTCTTATATACCACATTGCACAAGTGGAGGTCAGAGGACAACTTTCAGGAATTAGTTCTCTCCTTCCACTGTGGGTTCCTCTGGTTCCAGGGATTGAACTTGGGTTGTTGTCAAGCTTGCACAGCAAGCACTTTTCACCAGTGGGCCCTGTCTTCAGCCCCACTGTAGGATAGTCTTCAGAGACTGGGAAAATCCACACAGGCAGAGTTAGCTTCTTTGAAACTTGGACTGAGATTCATGCTCACTTGCCAGATGTGTGACTGGGGTGGCTCCCAGCTCCTGGGGTCACTATACCCCTCCCAGGAAGGAGCCCCCAACACACACACAGCTGACAAGCACAGACCAAATCCTCAGGTCTCAAATACTCCACCTCCTCAGTAGCACGAGACCTCACAGCTCTCTGACTCCACGTTTGCTCGTTGCTGCAGGGCCGCTCCCTGAGGAGGACACAGGGATCACAGGTATTTGCCACCACACCTAGTTTATTCAGTGCTGGAGGTGGAGTCCAGGACTTAGTACATGTTGGATAAGTACTGTATCCACTGAGCCACCTCTCCAGTCCTAACTTTTATTTTATATTTGAGGAAAAGGAAATGAGTTCACACAGCCTCAAGCAAACATCTATTGCAACTAAAGAACTTCCTAGATACTTCTAGAACTCCCAGAGATTGGAATGCCATTAAGTAGTCAGCCTCCTTTGGGTTCAGGCAGGGCTCACAGAGGGGCCTTGTCACAAATGGCATACAGAAATAAGCTACGAGGAGCAGTGTGGTACCACAAGAGGGCTCTGAGTCTCAGACACAGGATGTCCTGTTCCTAACTCAGCTAGAATGTCCCTGGTGTGCAGACAGATGGCATCCAGGAAATCAGTCTTGGAGTTCTCACAGGCAGTGGCTGATCCCAAGCAGCCTCACCATCATGGGGACCTGACTCTGCTAACTCTGGCTTGGAACACAACATGAGTGTGCAGTACTGGCCACAGGGTTTGACCAGGGACCAGTCCACTCCCTGGATGCCCAATGGTGCCTTAAGACAAAATTCAATTCCGACACCATTTGCCCATAGCTAGTGTAGAATCACAAAAGACTATATGGCTTCACATGCTAAGTGCAAGTCTCCCTAGACTTCAAGGTAACTGGCTACAAACAGAAGGTGCCCACTACCCACTCTCAAGAAAAAAAAAAAAGCTAGAATGTTGCTGGGCCCTGATGGCTTCCTCGGGAGAGGGGTTAAGAAGGTGCGACATCATGGCACAGACACTGGGAGTCAGGTGAAAGGAAAAACAGCAGACTCATTTATTTAGCAATGGGGAGAACCTTATATGCCCTCCCAGCATCTGAACCGTTGACATCCAGTGGTCACCCCTCATTGGCTAGGCACCATCAGGACCTATGACAGCACCAGGCAGACTCCAGGTTGGCTCATCTCTTGGCCTTATCTTCCTACACTAGAACGGCTTGCAGAATTCAGGAAGACATTTACTTAGTTTAAGTTATTTACTGCTGGTTAAATTTAAGTTGAGTGCAGTGCTGAAGGAGGCCAGAAGAGGGCACCAGATCACTAGAAGAGAACATCAGATCCCCTCAGACTGGAGTTACACTAGTGAGCCACCTGATATGGGTGCTGGGAACTGAACTCAGGTCCTCGGCAAGAGCCAGAAGTGCTCTTAACCACTGAGCCATCTTGCCAACTCCTGTTATTCGTTCATTATAAATAAAGCACAGGGCTCGAAGGAAGAGGCCCATAGGCAATGTCTGACGGGGGTCTATGCTTTCTCAAGACTCACCTTCCGGACACTTCCAAGGTTTCTTGATCAAACCTGAAGGTGTCTGTGACTGTTGTTCAGGGTTTGTATAAGGTTTCATTAAGCAAGCCTGATAATTAGATCATTGGCCTATAATCCTCAGGCCGGTCCCTACCCTTCAGGAGTCCCCTCATTAACATAAAGTCCAAGATGATGAAAGTGGCTTAGCATGAATAACAAAACCTGCCCCTCTGAATGAGAAAAAGACATAAAAAGGGAGGACATGATTGCTCCTACGTATGGTGAAGGAGAAAGTCTATTGCAGGTAAAAGGGAGAGCATAGCCAGAGGCAGGGACATCAGAGAAAGTCCAGGGTGGACATGACCCTGAGCCATGTGAGGAGAGAGGGAGGGAAGGGGAGAGCGGGGAAGCAGGTGCAGCAGGCAGGGAGGCCCAAAGAGAACTGGTAACCACAACAGTTGGATTATACTGGGAAGGGCAGCCCTGCCCCTAGGCTGGAGAAGTTTAGAGTGGGGGGTGGGGGTGCCAGCCTAGAGGGCTCTGTAACAGGTAGGGACTGAGAGATGCTGGGGGGAGCCTAGTAGCCAGGTTCGCTTTGATATGTTAAATAGACACCTCAGCCATGTGTCCCAGGGTTTGAGACTTAACACCCTATCTTTCAGAAAACTTCAGGGGAGTCAGAAAACAGGAACCAGATTAACAGGAGACAAATATGTTTTCTTATATTCCTAACCCTGCACAGCTCCTCTAGGGAAGGTCCTCTTCCACTCACACTCTGTGGTGCTGACTATACTGTCTCCCTTCTAGACTGTCCACTGAAGGCCTGGTAAGCAGTTCCCAACAAGACAGCCAGCTCTGTCATCGGAAAGAGCCAGTAGGTCAGAACTACATCTTCTCATAACCTAGTCCAAAAAAGCGGTATTCATCAGTCTCTCTGTGTCCTGTGGTTAGTTGCAAGTCACCAGGTTCTGGGCCAGATGTAACCCACGGTTAATCCCAACGGCGAGAATAAGACCTCTACCACACTTTGAGGCAAACTTGAAGCAAGAGTGATTTTATTGGGGTATCCCCAAGGGCTGGCCAATGACTGCCTCCTAAGTTGAGTTAAAGAGAGCAGCCCTGAATCCTGAATCCACCTCTTGGGACCCTTTTACAAGTAAAATCATGAGTACTTTTACAGAAAGGAGACAATTCAACAATAAGGAAATACAAAAAAACTTTAAAAAAATATGTCACCCACCATGTGATTAGGGAGTGTGAGAGAGGGTCAGGGAATTCTCAAAAACAAATCAAGGGATGGGGGGAAGATCAGGTTCCAAGAAACAGAGAGCAACTCAGTTCTCACAGTAAATAGAAACTTATTTTTTAAAATACAGCATAATGGCTCCTGCCTTTAAATTGGACTCAGGTAGGTTCCTCATTGCCTCCTTGACTTTTTTGCTTGTTTGTTTGTTTCGTTTTTCAAGACAGGATTTCTCTGTGTAACAGCTCTGGCTGTCCTGGAGCTAGCTCTGTAGACCAGGCTGACCTCAAACTCAGAGATCTGCCTGCCTCTACCACCCCCCACCCCCCCACCCCCCCACCCCCGTCTCTAACTTGATCACCCAACAGATAAGCAATGCTAGAATCATTGCTGCTCCACACTATTATTAAGACATCCCCCTATCAAAGATTTGACAGCAAAACGTAAGTCAAGAAGGAGCTGGGTGGTAGTGGCACACGGCCACATGGTGATACACAGATTAGTAGAAATAGACTGCTGTAAATTGGGCATTGGTGGCACAAGCCTTTAATCCCAGCACTCCACTTGTGAGGCCGAGGCAGGTGGATCTCTGAGTTCGAGGCCAGCCTGGTCTACAGAGCGAGTTCCAGGATAGTCTTCAATACAATACAGAGAAACCCTGTCTCAAAAAAAAAAAAAAAAAGAAAAAAGAAAGAAAAGAAAAAAAA